ACAGGAAGGCCTGGGAGCAGGACTGACACACCACTCCTAAAAGCTGGTAGGAACAACAGTAGGGTTGAAGTGAGGAACCGGTGAATACCTATGGTGTTGTGCTCAGCTATGTGGGCAAAAGGGTACGTTAGGCAACCTCACTGCCTTTCTCAATCTTAAGGCTCATAACATCAGCATCGTTGCCACCCAAACCCTCCTGAGGGCATGGAGGGAAGCAGGGAAGAATTCGAGGAAGAGGTGGTGTAGGTTCCCGAAGCCATGGTGGCACATCCGTGCTCCCCTCCACACCCTGCCACCCGGGCCTCTCCTGCCTCTCTCCTGGAAAATGAACCTTGCAGAAATAAGGAGAAGCAGTAAAGTATTTTGAGAAAAATGTAATCCTGAATTTTTATGAAGAGTCAGAGCAGCTCACTCTTCTCCACAGAGAATAAGTTGACTGTGAGTCATAGCGATGCAAGAAATCTATTTGTTGTGCCTTACCGTCTTCGGGCTCTGGAGGATTGCACTGGACCGCAGTACTACCCAGGGATGCTCTGTGCAAACACTGCCTTCTAGTTCTTGCCTAGTGTCTTGTAAATGAGGAGAAATGTTATTTCCCACAGGGTGGTGCTGCTGCATTGCCTGGCGTGGCAACACAGGGCAGGGCCTGAGCTTGAGCTTCAGGAAGCGGACAAAACAAAACACGCATTTTGCAGTGTCCAAGTCCCGTGGGCAAAACCAGAACCACACAGAAGCTGAACGCCTCTCAATTTGCACCCAAGTATGAATACATCACTGGAGCGGTGCAGGGAAAAAAGGAGTGAAGACAAATGAATACTTCCTGAAGGGTTATGGCTCAAAAGCACCTTCTAAATTATATAGAAAACTCTACTGGAATACACCAGAATAGTTACTTAGAAGAAGGTATTATTTATTGAGGCAATCCCAATTAAGGACTTCGTTATGCTGACCATGAAGTACTGTTACAGCTTAACTTAAACGAGCTCTTCCTTCTCACATAAATTTGTAACTCTTTAGGAAGCAAACAAGGAACTGTTTTGGCAATATAAAATATATTCACCATATAGTAGCACGGACAACCTTTGTTTTTCAGGAGATAAATTATCATCCAAGCTGGCAGAAATGTTTCAGGCTCAAAGTTTTCTCTTTTTTTCTGAAAACATGGTTATTTTTCAACAGAAGGTACTTGACTCCAATGCTGTTTTCACACAATTTTTCAAGGTAGAATTTATTAAGAGTTCCAAAGCCAATCTGATAAAAATTATCACTAGAACATAAGCAATTTCAAAAGAATGATGATTTCCCCATTTCAAACCTCATGGAATGGAAACAGATGGGATAACTTCAGCAGTTGTAAGCAGTTTCACTTACTTACACTGAATTCCCATTCACTGCACGGAGCAGAGTATTATCCCAGGCAGGATTCATCTGAGGTAGGATCCGTCCGTGTCTGTCTCGGACAGATGTTACCCCAGCCAAGTCAGACCACGCTGTCCCGGGAAGCCAGGCAGGCTCAGCAGCGTAGTGCTCCATTCAAGCTCGTATCCGTCAGTGCTCAACAGGGCTGGTGGGAACACGCAGCGTTAGCCGGGGAAGTTGTTCACAGCTAGCCCAGGTATCTCTGCCTACTGCTGCACCGTGCCGTGCCAGGAAATAACCGCTGTGGAGAACAGCCTGAATATTATAGTCTCTGAAAAAAAACATTGCAGATACAATAAATAATTTTTTAAAAATGGCATAATCCAGAGACTTCTATAACGCGCTGCCTGAAACATTTCACATGGTGGGCTGAAGATGAGCTGTTCAGTTTGGGTTGTGTGGACCAGGGGGCAGAGGTTTGGCATGAGGCTTTGCAAACCTGGATTGTATTGCCATTTCTTCCGCTCGCAGGTCATTTCTTGTTATGCTTCCTTCCTTCTGCTTCTGAGCCGCAGAGATTCATGACAGGGCTGATATTTCACAGTGTTTTTTTGCACAGAAAGCATCATTCTGGTATGTAAGCTTTTGTCCATTGGCTTAATTCACAGCAGAAACAGTGTTAGAAAACCCTGAAATAATTCTATCATTTTCTACAAAAGCTCTGTGTACAAAACCAGTTGAATGTTTTCTGCTGAATTAGACATTTAAAACAAGAAATACTGCCTTCATTATAAGTTAAACACAAAACAGAAAAGCCTATGAAAAACTATCTTGAAATTAAAAAAAATTCAAAAAATGCTAATAATGTAGTATACAGTATTGTTTACTAGGATAAAAATGCATATAGTACTATTCCAACAGGCTTTTAGAATATGCAGTTCTGGCATGAACAACTGCTGACATGTCATGATGTGGTAAAAAAAGTAAATTTTTGTAAAGTAAATGACAGTGGTAACTTATAACTTTTTGAAATAGCTTATCTTCTTTGTAGACCACATATTCCCTACTTTTTGATATAAACTTTTGCATTAAGATCTAAAACAATACCTTCATCACTACTAATTACTAAAGCCACCTCTTTTTTTCCTCCCAAATGTGCATATTTTTCCTATCTCATTAAGATAGGAAAAAATATTATGGATAATTTGTCTTTTTTTAAGAATGTACGTTAAAATCAAAATTAGGGCCCAGGGCTCAATTGCCACGCAGAGCTGAAAAAAGGTTATGTCATCTGTTTTAAGCCGTTTTTGCACTCCCATCTCTTAATCTGTGGTCTGTGCATGTACGTCATGCTACTGGCTCTGACCACATTTCTGAAGCAGGGCAGCGAGAAATGCTTTGAGCACAGACAACTGAAGTCAAGCAATTTTAATATGTTATATTTGAAATACACATGAATAATAGAACTACTTGATACACATACTATTCATATATATAAAAAATACATTATACCACTATGGCTGTAATCTTGATCTAAATCAAATTTGTGAACATCAGTCTATTTTGCTTTCCCTTCTGAGGCACAGACTGGAGTAGGACACCATGAGCAACCACTGAATACACTGCAGATGATTAGCAAAACTATTAGTTCAGCACTGATAAAAATCATTTGGACTCTGCTCAATTTGCTAATCAAAACACAGAAGTGATTTGCATTGCAGAACGTGAAGTTCCTCCATTGCTGGCAACAGTTTCACTCTGGAAATGTAGAAACATCCCATTATTTATTAAATCATCACATCAGTAATTTACCCCATGAGCTACATGGAGTCTATAGCTCCCATGAAGCAGCCAGCTGTAGTATATTCCTCACACAAGTAGCAGGAAACCATTGGCGAATCGCAGCTGTTGTGTTCTGGCCATCCAGGACAAGTGACCTGATCAGCTCTTCAGCTGGCACAAACGAGTCATTTGCACCATCTGAAGACACAGCTCCTGGGTCCAAGAAGAGACAGACTTGCCACTGGAGTACGCAGAAACAACTTTGTCTGCCAACATCCTCTTTATTAATCGCCTGTGGAGCGGGCAGTTTGTCAGTCATCTGCTTGCCAGGGACTCTAAATTTCAACAGCTGCTGATTTTACAGGAGAAAGAGGCTCTGTATTTGGAAAACCACGAGCCTCTCCTCTGGCCTCCTGGGCTGCCTTTGGGCTTCTTCCAACTAATGCAGCTAAAGCAGGTTTGTCTATCAGCACACCTAGTCCCCTGGCACAAGTTTACTCCTCTTCAGATAGTAGAAGAGCCACAGCACCTCTTCCACCCTCCCGGACAAGGATCATACCTGGAATGTCAATGTCTAGAAATTCAAGCTTTAAAGATATCCAGGAAAAAAAGCAGCAACCACCTCAAAAGTTTGCTGTAGGGGGCTTGGGAAAGCAGGTCTAAAACCATATTTGAAATTAAATTGCAATTTATGTACAAAATTCAGGCACACTGTAAAAATTAAAGCTGGTCCAGAGATACTTTCAGCATAAATCACAGTTTTCTGCCAGATTAAAAAAAAAAAAAAAGGCTTTGGCATTTGAAACAGTTATTTGCAAAGAGTTTAATGCAGACTGATAAATGTGGAG